TTAATTAAAACTTCTTTAATTGATTTGGTGATCAAAAGTCTTATTTTTTGGTGATCATTTCACTGCTAATAAATTTGGTGATCAAAAGCCACTTTTTTGGTGATCAAAACACATTTATTCCATTTTTCATCGTAGTCACACTACAGAACGATTCGATCATAATTTTCTTTTTTAGTGTTTCTCAACAAACCATCAATGTATGTGATCATTTCGAATGAGGTGCCACTGATTTATTCGTGAATCATCTTTTGACATGTCTTCTTTGAATATTGATTAATAGTCTTTCGGCAGATATTGCCGCTATTTACGATGCAAATTCAAGAAACAAAGTTAGACAACTTAGGTATATTTATACCATCTACTTAGGCATATGGATATGCCGGACTCCGTTGTCCTTTAGGTAGAAGAGAGGAGCATTTGTTGTACAAGAGTAGAACATGCAGTTGTCTAGAAAGCATCTAATATGAACTCATCTTAAACATACCATCTTGAAACTAGAAAATGCTGTGTATGTTATTAACATCAAACTAACTACCAGACATTTTATAAGATAAATACTGTCGTCTATGTGATTCTAATTAGTTAACTATTAGTAGATAAAAAATGCCGCTGTTGTACTTGATCGGATCGACATCGCTTATTTATTATGCAAATAAATATTTTTCAATTAACACTTGTCTAGTTGATTAAATTAGCAACGATCAAATTGTGATCTTATAGTTAGATTTTTTTTTTTAACATTCACGAAACCGACAAAAGTCTGTTTATATCAATCATATATATGAATGCTTTCTCTCTTCACATATATATAGATATGAATAGAGAAGAAGAGAGTGAGAGAGAGAAAGGGATACTTTTATGTGTTGACATGTCTAAAATCAACTTTATGTAGATCGATATAGAATATCTGTTTGTGTCAGAGAGTAAAATGTCAGTTTATGATATTCTAATTGAACAAAAAAAAATACTTTTGTCTTCTCCTTTTCCTTCCACATGAACATAGTATAACGCTTTTACAACGCATGTTTGATTTTTATAAATGATAGCACGATGTGTTAATTAAAAAAAAATTGATAATTTTCGTTGCCGTTAACCATTTCAATTAGTAAAAAGAGAAAAACATTTTTTTTTTTTGAGACATTATTCATTGATGAAATGAGTAGGAACGTTATCACCACATGTCGATTAGTGATTATTATTATCTCACTCTCAAATAATGCCATTTTAGCAGAAGGTACTTTTCTATATAATTTTTGTTTTTAAATTATTATGTTTAGTTTTTAGTGGTTGGATTTCAACATGCGGCAGCCATAGAATACAGTTCATTTTGGAATTGGTGGGACTATAGCGAACGTGTCTCGGGTAAAAAATATTCTTTTACCATTGAATTGTACTTCTATAATATACTTAAGACATATCAAAAGTACCAAGCTTTATAAAAGAAAACTCAAAGAAAAGAGTTAATTAGATTTTTACTTTAGCACATATTCTAACGAACTAGTAACTATATGATTAACCACATACAATCACAATCTTTCAAGCCATTCATCAAATGTTTTTTTTCAAAACATCTCTAGTCATTGAACAAAACCGAAAATTATCAAACACTAGCTGAACAGCAATTGGAGAGTCTTCGCCAACTATCTTTCGGTGAAGCAAGTGTCCTCCTAAAATCGTGTTTCGTATCTTTTTGAAAACAATTGGTCCAGTTCTCTTAGAAAGGATACAAATATACATAGCGAGAGAACAGACTTTAACCACTAATATTATAGCAGTAACTGATTACAAGCCATTTGACAACGAAACCAACAAGCAAACATCATCTAGCGCTTATCATATCAAACCTCATCACCGCAACGCTCGACCACATACTCATAAAGATATTTATAACTATCCCGAATCAGACAACATCATAATCATGCTATGACCACCTTATTCTACGAACCTAGTATCATATGATTTTTAGTGCTTTGATCTTGTCAGACAAAGTTCAATCGATCATATATCAATACCAAATCATCACATTGAGTGCCGTAATCAAGATTGTTAATTCAATGACTAGAGATGTTTTGAAAAAAACTTTGTAACGAATGAAATCTAATTCTTTTCTTCGAATTTCCTTTTATAAATCTCGGTACTTTCGGTATGTCCTTAGTAGCATATTTTTTTGGTATTAGGCTCGACTTATTGGGAACATTATTTTCCAATATGTGGCACGGGACGTTTTCAATCTCCAATCAATATTCAGAGTGAACATTTAATGTTTGATAAAAATTTACAACGAATAGAAATCAATGCGGCTGGAAACGTGCGTGAACTTAGAAATCAATTTCCTTTAGTATCCTATTTGACAATTTTCCCCAAAAAGAATTCTATTGTCTGTTTTCTATTGAAGATTCGGGGAATACTGCGCAACGATGGCCGAAATTTGTTGATTATTTTTCCTCTGGAGCATACAGCTGATATTACTATCACAGGCGGTCCACTGCATTATTATTATCAACCAGTTGAATTATATATTCGATTAGCACCATCTGGAAGTGGACGAGGAAGTGAACATCAAATTAATAATCTTTCATTCAACGGAGAAGTATTTTTTATTTTGGAAGAAAAGAAGTGTCAGCTATTTATCTTAGTTTATGTTTGGTTTTCTTAGATCCAGTTGGTAGCATTCAATAAAGATTTATATAAAAATTATACTCAAGCACAAACGTCGCCAAAGGGTATAGCCATACTGTCATCTATGTTAATGGTGAGTACTATCGAATATCAACAGACATAGAGTAGTGATACTTCAGTTTTATTTCTTCTAGAGCGGTGGCGATTCATCTGCTGATCTTAGACAAGTGAGTGTAGAAGTTTACATTAACCAAAAGTAGTTTACCATTTCTATTCTATATTAAAGATACTTCATCAATCAGAAATGTTAAATCATACTCGAAAACAATCATCGACAAATTCTGATATTGACATTGATAATATTAATTTAAAAAGTTTAATTGCTTATTCTGAAGAGTATTTAACATATGAGGGTATGTGACTTCCAAAAAAGATGTTCTCTTATATAGGCATTATTACGTTTGTTTTGAGGTTCTCTATCATGGCCGGGATGTTATGAAAGTGTGACATGGATTATTTTCAATCAGTACCAACTCATATTGAATACATACTTACAAACACTATTTGATACTCTAAGATTTGTCAGTAATCATCGAATTAATACACGTACTAGTTTTGGACGAAATGTACGAACAAATATTGGTTCAAAACGATGGTTTCCTAAAAATGAAGATGGTTCAAATTTCACACAATCTACATCCTCAACATGTGTACCACTCAATAATTTATTACATTTTCAAGGTATAATTTGAATTAAGAAATAATTCCGTAAATATTCGCTAATGAGTGACAGAAACATTACAAAATCTAGTAATGACGATATCCTGATCTTCATTTTCTATAGAATTTATCTATTTTTATGTTTTTTTAGTTGATTCAAACATAGGCGGAGATGTTGATAAAAAATGGATGTAGCGATTCTGTACTATATGCAATTATTGAAAAATAGCCATCAAAAATAATAGTCGATTCACTACATAAAAAAACACTGTTCTTACCTGTATGTATGTATTTGCTGTGAATGGAACAATGTGAAAGTTATTTAACGCACGCAATTTATTAAACTCAACAAGGGGACCTAATAAACTGTTGGTCACTGATAACAAGATTACAGAAACGAATTTTTACATGTATTTAAGTAATTCGATAACATCAATTTATGTAGGAAATAAAAACTTAAACTATGCAAAACAACCAAGCAAGACTATTAGGAATAGAATCAAATGACATAATAATAAAATCAGTTATAAAAGAGAGTGGTAGATTTATTTAGTCAAAAGAAGTGTAAAGATTAGTTACGAAAATATTTTATCCTAAAAGTCTTGTAATACTTCTATAGGCTGATCAATGGGAAGAATGTTACGATCTGGAATTTTTCGAGTTGATGCCTACCCTAAATGCGACTGAAAAGGATTTTATGATGGATGTGTTTGATTTAACGTTAAAAAGCTTGGCGTTGTGGTGTGTGTGTAAAGATTGTATGAAATGCTAGTAACAATGTGCATTTATAGCTTAAGGACTATTGTTTTTGTTCGTTTATCTAGCATATTTCAGTTTTTCTTTGTTATAACCAGCTGTTAACCTATATATACTTTTATTTGACGGATAATGTCTCTTCAACTGAGGCTAAACGTCTCTCATGACAAGCAATAATGTTTAAAACGCTTGTCATTTAACTAGTTATTATTACAAGTAGCTTACAATCTTTACAAAGGATCGGATTGATCAACTTTAGATCAGTTTTGGAGCGCGTCATCGATGGTTTTGTTGAACGTCTCCGTCACGTTATAGCAGCCAATGGAAAACACTTAATAATGCTTATTAAGTGTTATTCACAAATAATACTTATTAATTTAAATGGAGAATTAAAATTAAACGATGAAAAAAATTTTGACAATTAGTTTATTTCCGGCTAATCAATTAAAAATATTTAATGCTCGTTCAATTATCTTGTTTATATTAAGAAATATGATGAATTTACGTGTTGGAAGTATGCTGAAGGTCACCGACATTATATTAGGAAATTGTTTCAAATACTACACAAGACGGAGCAAACACTCTTTCAATGAAACTGATTTCAACACAAAGTAGTAAGCTGATCAAACGAATTTCTTCTTTTGTATTATTATAAGTGAAATCAACTACAGACGAACAAAGCACGCTCTTACAAGATTCTGTCGCATTTCTCATGCAGCATCTCCTATCCTATGTTACAATATCACACTTGGCAACAGAGTCGATCAAGTGACACTATACTTGACCGACACTATTCGCTCCTACATATGGCATAAGAGATGTCGCACATGCGTACAGCAGGGAGCTTTTTCACCCTCTGAATAAAATACTACACTTCACAAATAAACAATTATGCCTCAAATTTAGTAGTGAAGCAAAGATAAGACTTCATGAGTATTTTCTTGTTTAGTGGTTTGCAAAAAATTCTACAAAGATTATATGCTTGGTATTTGTGAATTTATCCAACTATTGTTCTTTCAACTGATTAACAGCCCTAAGCATATCAATACGCACGATGAAACAAGAAGTTGGGTAATTACCCAGATAAAATTCCCGTAATAATCTAGAAATATCGTTTGTAGAGAGTAGAGCGGTAAGTGGCGCTCGATCTGTTCATTATAAGCATGGATATTTCTTTCTTGTTTTTCTAGTAATAAATTGTGATATAATTAAGCATAGAGAGCTGAACGCCTCGAATTGTTCGTGTTTTTACTTATCAATACATACCGCACCATTGGTCAATTTGCTTAACAACCGTTCATATTTGTCAACTACTATTTTTCTGGCGCGATCTGTTTGTCTCTGCGGTTGTCAGCTGGTAGTTTTTCTTATCTCAGTGAGTCACAGTGGAATCAATTTTAGTCTCGTCATTGTTTTATGAAATAAGTAAACATATCACTTTTTACAGATAACTTTTAATAATCATGGTGTGTTATCTTGACGATAGTATATTTGAAAATGCTGAAAGAGTGGTTAAATTTAACCGTTCTATCAGTCAACATTTACAAGTTCGATTAGTCTTGAATCCATTCACAAAAAAATTTATTGACTCCGATCTTGCTGTTACATTAGGCATATTATGCAATGGTTATTATAGAAATCAATATGGCGGCTTAATTCCTTTACGTGAGATTTTTCTTTTTTTAAAGATAAAAAGAAGAAAAATCAAACTTATTTGTTTCGTTTAGACATAGCGGCGGGTAAAGGTCTTGTTCAATTCTCAGTGAATGATGAAACTGACAGAGAAGAAATGGAAATCGAATACTATCCCATCGAAAAGGAAGATCATTCTCAATCAATGATGGCAACACTTGTCATCCGTTCCGTCTATGATAATCGAAAAAATAAAACAATGATTTCCGTGAAGCAAGCTCTGTCTCAAGCGTTAATTGATACTGATACATTTTTATATCGTTTGACAGACACTATTTCACTTCCATTACATGCAGCTCTGTATCAAGGATATATTCTGGGAGAATTTCGGACAACAACACGTGAGTATTTTAGTAATGAACTTTTATTCTCTGGATCCTGTCATGTGATCAGTAAACAAAAATAAAATTCATTTTCGTTTTTTTAGAGCCAAATAGGCCATCTGTGACTACGACTATTGATCAAGGCAATTGTTCGAAAACTTTAGTAGAAAAAGTAACAATATGTTTTTTCATTTGCGTTTTATGTTATATTATAAACAAATTGCCCGTTGTTTTATTTCAGGATACATTATTTCAACAAAATAGTTCAAAATTGATATCTTCCTCAAGTATTTCATCAATTCAATCACCAATAATTCCTTCTGTTAATGAAATGACTGTTTTTGATGAATTACTGAAAACAATGAATTCGATCGTGTATAGTTTAGATGAATTTTGTCAAATGGTTTGCATTACACCTTATTGCGAATTAGATTCGACAGGTTATATTAAAAACAACGAAACTGGCTCTTATCATTTATTATCAGACGCCATTGATCTTGGTCTCGTTACCTTGAAGCATATTCCTGATACTGATTATATTTCTGAACGACAAATCTACAACGAAAAAGTACAATTTGTTTTTTATCTATCCATTCTTTCATTATTAACCGTCATCATTATTTTTTTTTCTATCTTAATTGTCTAAGATTTTGTTAAAAACCTATTTATTCAACAGATCTGATAGAAACAGAAAATATGACTTTTTGTTAGAAGTTTTACATTTATGGATGAGTTTTAATTATTTCTCTTTTTCGTTTAGAAAAATGACTATCAGCACTCTACATTTGAACATGTTGATCAAGATGTGAACATTTTATCAATGAATGATACACAACAATTTTCAATCAAAACTTGTCCGGTTAGTATACGGCACAACTGGTCATTTCTACGTATCTTCATGAAAATGTTTTCTTTTGTTTTAGTTTTTTTCGGATAGTTTTGTTTCGGATTTACTTGATCAATCGGACTCTCAGTTTTATGTTAATAATCACGAAACACATTTCACTGAATCAACATCAAAATGTTCAGGTTTGGTTAATATTTAGCAACTTGTTTATTAGTCTTTTTCCTTTATTTTTTGTTTTGCTGATTGACAGACATCTGCTGTCATTTTTCCTTCTATTGTTGTCTTATAAAAGTTCTCCCGTCGTGCTTGTTTGTTTTCTTTGCCCTTTTATATCATTTATATTCAACTTTTTGTTACGTGGTTTTGAACAAGTTTATATTGTTTCTCTTAAGTGATCATTTTCTTTTTACAAAAATGCTTCTGTTTTTTATTGTTATTTTGATCTATGAATAAATGAATTCGACATGTACAGCTACAACAAAACGGACTGGAAGAAACGTGTAAAATGTTATCATACTCCCCATTTCTTCATCATCTGAAAAACAAGGTTTTGTAAATCTTCTTATTAAGCAGCTCCCTTGAAAACTAATCTTCACGTTAAAATATAGAGAATACGGTGGTATTAATACGGAACACACCTTATATTACATTTTTCTATTTGCAACGTAAAGAATTGTGTTTATAATGATGAATAAATTTCAGAAGTGGATGTTCCATATTACTTTCTCTTTGCCCTTCAGACATCCGTCATGTTAATCTTCAAGAACAAGCGCAACTGCTTAATATAAGTTGCTTACTCTTATTTTGCTTCGTGCTAGATGACGCTTTTAGACAGTCGTCAAGTTAGCCTATTTAAAAGTGAAAAAGGAAATACGCAAAAAAAAATATATTCCTCATACTCTGATATTTTTTCTTTTCCAGAAAGTAAAAGTATAGTGATTTGAAAGATTTTTTACTCAAAGGAAATTTTGTTAAAGAATTTTCCACGGTTTATAGACGATTAATGGCGTTTGAGGATTTATCATAAAAGTAAGACTACTAGTCTACTCTGCTACAATAAAAAATGGAATTTCCTTTTGATATCAATGCAGTATTACCTTACGACGTTACAATTTTAAACGGAGACTATCGCATCCTCAACCACGAACAAACCATTCGAAATGCGTAAGTATTTAAGTGAGTTAATAGTCTGGAATAGAAAACATACTTCATACTGAAAAATGATTTTAGAAGTTTGGAGAAATTATCCATCATTATCGATGCGATGGGTGAAGCATCCTACAAGGTTCGTAAAATTGAGCAGCAACCTTTTGGCTTGTGATTCCAATATATATTATTTTTTGTGTAGGCGCAAGGGTTACCTGGTTCAGTGACGACTGCAAGGAAATTTCGTATATCTGATCACCGTTTATATATTGTAAAAAATTCATCTGACAACAGGTTCAGAATCATATCTCTTTTATATCTGCCATATATATGAACACAACAAAATCTTCTAGTTTTTTAGATCTATGGGGTCCGCTGTTGGAATTTTAAAAGTTGGCCACAAACATTTGTACGTTTATGATTTAAATGGTCAAGTTCATGAACGCACGCCACTCTGTGTACTTGATTTTTATGTTCATGAATCAAAACAACGTTGTGGTTATGGAAAGAAGTTGTTTGATGAAATGTTACAAGTATATAAAATAGAAGATGACTACTTTCTGTTGTAATTAATTATGTTTTGTCTCTAGTTTGAAAAATGTAAAGTAAGAGATCTGGCTATCGATCGTCCTTCATCAAAATGTTTGGGATTTTTACAAAAACACTTTAATTTAACTGCACCAATACACCAAGTCAACAATTTTGTTGTATTTCACGGATTTTTCGACAATAAACATCCGAGTAAGCCGAATTTTACTTTTTAAAGAGAAATAGAGCAATGTTGACGGATATTTTGCTTCACAATGCTATTACCGTCTAATGTTCATTTTGTTTTACGAGAAAGCTGTTTCGATTCGCATGACTTTTGTTTATGATTTATAATTTTCAATTGTTTTTGACAGTTTCACTAATTGAAACAAGTATATATTTGGCACTATCTTATATACTATTAATATTTAGATGAACCTCATACAACATCTTCGAAACGAAGTCAAAATCTGGGATATCGTACGCAAAGTATGTCTTCTTTGTATACAATTAAGCTAGATAAATAGGAAAATCAGCGTTTTGTAGACATTGACAACAGCACTCATCTCAATTCTAAAAAGTGGCTTAATAATTTTGAACAACGACCAACATCTGAACAAATCGATACAAGACATCTTAATACAAGATCATTATTCAATGAAAATGTAAAAATGCAAATTGCTATTTATTAAAAAAGTTTATAGATGTTTGATTTTCTAGATATTTGACAATAATAAGTTGCCAACGTCGATGCGCCAAGCGACAACAATTGGGTTTGTGCTTTTTCTTAATCTGAAAATAATCTAAAAATCAATTTATTGAATTTTAGTCAAAATTTTACTTATTTTTTTTTAGAATTCCATCACAAGAATTACGGAATAAGCAACATCCATATTCAGCATATACTACATCTTATAATCAACATTATAATTCTGCAGCGCTTTCAGATACAAATTTAAAATGTATACGTAAAATTGTTAATAATAAGAAAATTTAGATTTTAAACTTATTTAAAACTTTTAGCTGCCAGTACTGGACAAAATCTTTCCAATTACTCAACATATCTGCCAAGAAGTTTTACGAATAATCAGATATTCAATGAAAATGAGTAAGTTCATAATATTTTCTGGTAAAATGAGATTTTTAAACGATTAAAAAACTCTATCATGTGTTCAGATGAAAAACGACATTAATGAGAAAAAAAGACTTTGTATCTTTAGCTACTTTGTTGTTTTTCTATTTTTAAGCCCCTTCCCTAGTCTACGACGATATAATACAAATCCTGTAATACCATTGACAAATAACAATAACACTTCATTGATATCGGCAACATTCAATGATTCTTCTCGTTCTCGAAAATTGACTGATATATTACCGGTGTCTCGAGAAGCGAAAGACTACTCAAATAATAATTTGTCAAAACCTTATAAAACACAGTCTGCTGTGCCATTGACATCAATGTACACATTTCCATCGTTAATAAATAATAATTGGCAGCGAGATGCATCTTGGAGAGGATTCGGTGGATCAACAACAACAACAACAACTCCTGCAGTCAATCTAACACGATGGTAAATCGATTTTACATCTTAATTTGATGATTGATTACACGCCTCTTCTTCATGTTGTATGCCATCTTTATTTTTATACTAGATTAATAATGTATTTCTCTTAAAATGTTCACATATGAAATCTATTGTATTAATTCATTTTTGTTGGTTTTGTCTAATATTGATATTTTTATTTTTGTCAATAATTAAAATTAATGTTATTAGCTGGAGAAAACTTTTGTAAACTATATACGATCGTGATACTACACTAAGTTTATTTGGATGAAAGGGGGTTTTTTCGTCTTTTTATTTTTGATGAAGTGGCGACAAACGCTAAGATCTTTCTTGTCTTGAAAATCATGCAATAAGAATTATTAGATGTTTGGCGTTGAACAATAAATAATCATTATTAACTACATTTTCTATTTTTTAGCCAACATTTTTCTATTGGTTAGTATAGATGGATATAGAACATTTTCTTCTCATTTTCTATATACCATACAACGAACTAATCTATCACATATAGACAAGTTATACAATTATCACATTGAATAAAAGAATGAAAAAAACAGAACAATCGATAGATTTTCTGTGAATTGAAACAGAGCAAATGTCTTAAGGGATGACGATTTCTTTCAATGACACAACAATGTTCAATTTAGCAATAATTCAACAATTATGAGAATGTGTACGAGTGATGAAACAGAAAAAGCAAAATCTCATATATCTATAGTTTACTCGAATATTTATTAAACGAGAAAAGAATGTTTATACTTAAGGGATAAGAAAAAACAACTAGATGAGATGATGATGAACTTGGATGAAGGACATACAAATAAAAGACGTGTGTGTTTGTTGTTCGAAAGAACGGGATAAAAGGTTTTTTTTTTTATCGGTCGAACACATGTGTTTAATCTCGTTATTTATGCTGTATATATCTACATACGACAAGATCTCGACATATGTTAAGTTCGAACTGAAAGATGTTAAACTTGAGCAAGCCTTTACAAAAAATTAGTAATACTTACAATGAATATCAAAGAAAGGTTAGTGGAATATTACTCGACTAGTTAGATAATTCGTTAGATCTCAAATCCAATTTGTATTTATAAAAAATAGTTTCATACTATACTCTACTCATGTCCATCTACCATTTTTACTTAGTCAAATGAAACTATTTATCTTAGGCTGTGTATAGAGTCGGATGTTTTTATTTCCGAGTACAAAGAGGCGAAGAAGAAGAACAATAGATGACTTTTTAAATTTATATATACTTTTTTTTTTCTTCTCCCAATGGGTTTTAAATATAAGATAACGGTCAGTTATTGTTCTTTGTTGAAAGCATGTCCGTATTTTCATTTTTCTTTTACAAAAAAAATTTGAACAAATATCTAAATTAAATTATTGAACCTAATAAAAAGAAGATATTTCTTTTTTTTCTTCTGAGTTAAACCAGCGGTTCTTTTCTCTTATACTTATCAAATATTAAGTGAAAGAATAACAATCATATATTCATTAATCGGTATCTCATAACTAAATAGACGATTTTGTTTCGTAATATATAACTCGCGATCTGATAAGTTACTATCATATTGGTTTTTATGAATTGAATAAATTTTTTTTTTTTTTATGTTGTTTATGTCTTATTAGGTTGAGGAAAAAGTTCGTGCGCCGTGTTAAAATAATGATTTTTTTATATATATTTTTTTGTGTTTTTGATCTGGTTTTGTGGCTATTATGAAAATTTATTGATTTTTGAAACGCTTGAACCATTTCTGTGCAGTTCGCGGTGCCACCGTACCTTCACCTTCAACGTCGCAAATTGCTTT